ATCAACATGCATAACAGCATCCTAAGCTGTAAAGGAAGAAGGGTAAGTTGAAGTTCTGCTGACAGGGATCAGAAGCGGCAGAGACAAGAGAAGATGACAAGCTCATTTCTTCCACCCACAATCAATACTAAAATGGAACAATGACCACTGTGGTAAACAAGACACTTCTCGCATTTTTTTTTTCTGTCGAATTTCTTCCCAGAAGGAGAGTACAAGCTTATTTGAGGACTGCCATATTACCTGTGCATAATCCTGGAAGTATCACATTATTTTAAGCATGTTGGCCAGAGCTAGGAGTTTGACAGAAGGAAAGTATTTCAATGGCCCTGCACTGACCCCAGGATATCAGCTGCATCATCTACTTCAGCAGCAGCTACTTGTAGTAGCTTAAGTTTACACAGCAAAGCCAGACTACTAGTGAGGAGGGCAAGACCCACACTTACTAACAGAGCAGCCAGTCTTGGCAGCAGATAGAACAGACACAAGCAGTTATCTGGAAGGAGGAAATTTCCTTTGCCATTGGATCTGGCAAAAAGAAAGAAAAGACACGAGATATACCCCCGAGTCAGTCAATCGGACCAGCCTGTAAGAAAGCAAGCAAAGGACACAACATGAACAGCACTTCGGGGCAGGACAGATTGCATTATTTCCAAGTACTTAATGTGTTAACATGGAGCCAGAAAATTAATGAGAAGCAAGGCATCTACCCCAAAAAATTACACAGAAGTGCATGCATCCAACTAAGTTCTCCTGTACAAAGCATAATGTACTGTACCACAGCCTTCAGAAGCTGAACATAAGTGGAACAGCCAGTCTTCCTGACTCTGCTTTCAAAAGCATATGTGGACTTTTTTCACTCCCCACTGTATGATGCTGCACAAATACACTGCTCTTGGTTCAAGGCCAAAGACGACCTTGCACCTAGCACACCTTTGGATAGAAGGAAAGTGTAAGGACTCAGAACTGTAGCCTGTTTTCTCACAGAAAAAAAAGCTTTAAATATCTACAAGGGTTTTCAGATTTCTAAGACTCTGGTTAGAGTAAGAATAAGACAGCTGTTTCAAAAATGGCTTTGTCATCAGAAAAGCAGTAAAACTTAATAAAAAAAATCCTTGACTATTTATCAGCATTGACAACATTATGGGGCATGTTACCAACCAATAAAAACTCTGAAACAGAACACAGAATTGGGAAAATGAGCCTGTGGTTTCAAGTTTACTTTTTTCTTATTTGTTTTAGAAGTGTCCTCCCTTCTCAAGACAAGTTGTTTTTCAATTCTTCCTACCCTTTAATTCATTACTGTTTACCAAATGCCCTCAAACTGGGGGAGGAGAAGAGGTGGGTAACAAATGCACAAACCCCAAAACACATATAAATCAAATCCAAAGGCCTCTCCCCCTCATTGTATCCACAAGTGTCCGGAGGGACTAGAGTGAGAGAGATGAAGATATTACCACCTCTGGAATACAAGTAGCACCAATTAACACATTTTCACAATAGAGGGATTTTCTTACCAGGGCTTTCTCAAATGACTCTTTCTGAACAATACCATTCAAATGTTAAGTTGCAGTGAAGAGAACATGCAAAACTACCCAAACTAGTGTTTCCAACAAGGAGAAAAGAATTCCCATTATACTGATGCTTTTCTTTTTCCCCTTTTTTTTTTTTTTAATTAGGCCTAGAGCATTAGCCTTAGTTTTTCATTCCATGACCGTCATGGATTGTCTCTACTGCTATTTCAAGTTTAGGAAGACATAAGCAATAATCACAGCAAGATTCAGTTTACTCTTTTTATATTGCTTCTAGGTCCAGATTAGTTGACAGACACTCCTCTGGACAAGATCCTCTTTCTTTATTTGTTACCTGCCACACTATGAGGTGATGCAGCTGCAGGTAAGCAGGCACCTAGCTGTAAAGCACATGCTTCTGTCACCACCTGTTCTAGTTCCCAGATTACAAGGAGCCATAATAGGTCTCCTTGAAAGACCATGGAAAGAAAGCAGAATTTCAGAGAACAAGAGAAGATGAATGCACAGAAATCAGGCATTCAGCTGTCCCAGGAAAAACGACTTTCCAGAAGAGGTGCAAAGTCAGGTGCCAGAGTGTGGCAAAACAGATGAAGAAATATCCCAGCAAAACACAGACACTCATTTGTGGAGAAAGGGAACATGGTATGCTAACAAAATGCTGGTTTTATCCCTTCACACTTACTGCAACAGAAGACAGCAGATCCAACTAACCCAGTCTGCTGAGTTGCACTCTTCTAGTACCCCTTACATTTTGGTACACAATAAAGAAAGGCAAATATGTGACAAATTTGCTTACAGAGTTTCACTTTTTTATTACATACTATAACTGATTATTTCTTCCCTGTCTCCCCAAATACCTTAGGGCTTCAGTTTACATTAATAATGGCTTGAAACAATTCCTTTCCTTTAATTATTGCAATAGACAACCACAAAAAGAAGCCGAACAGAGTGAACTTTGCCCTAACACAGACATAAGAGATACAAATGTTGTACAAAGAACATCATCCAAAGAAAGTTGAAGCATTACTTAAAATTATTAGTTAAAATTAATGCAGCTGGCATCAGTGATTTCCCTTAATAATGTTATTCAGGAATAACTCCTTCCATCATACCTGTCTACCAAGATATTAGGCTTTAAAAATAATAAAATAGTCACAGGGGTATTATGCACAGATTTACTACTTGCCATTGCATAGTCTCCAAGTTCTGACATTTAAGATTACCTGAGAGTAAAGCTGTCTGTATTTTGTCTGTATTTGCAATTTGAAATGAGAAAGTACATCCTGCCTGTTTAAATTATTCTCAGACAGGTTGCCCAAAAAGATGATTTTAAAGATGCCCAAATGTGTATCAGCCTGAGGCCATATTGTACTTGCTTTCAGTTTCAAAGACCTCCTTTCATCTTCGAAGAATGGAATGTTGTTTACTGCTCAGGATGTTTTGCCATGTTATCATGAATGTATTACAAATGTTCTGCTTCTTGAACTAGAGAGTGTTTGTCAAAACCATTCTTTATTCTACATGAGAAGTCTTAAGCCTTTTATAAATCCTGCTCAGATATATTGGAACACTTAAAACATTTAAGTCTAAACATCCTTCTCCAGTTTGCTACCCTGCATAATTTCACAAAATAGAAAAAAAAAAACGTCTGCAGAGAATTGTTTTATGGTAGCATGAAGCCTCAGCACTAGGCACCAGAACGCAAGCTTGCATGCAAGAAACAAAAATAGTTTCACTGGCAGAATTACTTTCACCCACTGCCCTTACAACTCAGCCTAGTATGGCAACCCATACGGGAAGCATCTTGAAATACAGCAGGCAAGTTTGTGTCAGTTAAATGTTTTGAAGGGTTATGGTCAGTTTTAGGCACGTTAGGTCCACAATCTTTTAAGCTGGTAATATAAATAATGGATCACCACCTTTCAGTAGCAACATTGTTATCTGCCTCACTTTGGCACAATGTCATAAAGCTTTTAATAAAGCAGACACACCACCGACACTGAGAAATAACTGAAAAGTACCTAACAGGCAGACTTGTTAAATATTCAGAAACAAATCTGGTAATAATTACAGAAAACCACTATGAAGAACAGGAATAGTTACTTGATAGAAGCTTGGGGGAAGATGAGAAAAGGATGGAGAAAACTGTTCTTGTGCTGGACTAATTTTTTCAAGTTTTTCCAGTGGTATTATATGGTATTATAAAAAAAGTAACTGTACATTCAGCTTCATGTGAAAGTGCATTTAAAAACTTCAAAGAGAAGAATAGCTGCTTAAAAGCTGTGAACGCTGCTTTCTGCAGCTTGTTGAGAGATTTCTTCCCTTCACTTGTGGTAAAAACAGGGAGCATTCAAAGAGCTAATTGTGTATCTACGTCAGGGGGAAAAAAAATAAATCAGTGAAACAAGTCTGTCTCACCTGTTTAGAGAGGTCTTTTGTCATAGTCCAGGCTGAAGAAAAAGGTACAGGACAGATGCCACCACTGTCTCAGTGACACTGCAACTAATTGAGGACAAGGTCCTCCTGGACTCCACTACACAGAAATGACAAGAGTGTTTTCAATCCTAGCATCTATTTAAGCTTCCTAGACCACAAGAATAAAAAAGACTTAAGATTCATCAGAAAGGACAACTTTATCACCAATTCCTCCACTCATGAGTTACCTTCCAGGCTTCTGCTCATTGTGAGTCAGTGGGCAAACAGACTTTCACTTGAGCAATACTGAGGCTACATGATAAAGAAGAGCAAAACTGGCAATACATGAATGACAGCCTGCAACACATTTCTCTCATCTCTAGAAAAGATAATGACCTCTAACAGAAGTAGAACGTCAGACTCCTTGGAACAAACTTCGCCAGCCACAAAAGCTTCCCAGGTATCGGAAATAGTTTATCTCCAGCACATTGTTGGCAAGATTTGTTATAAGCACTTTCAAGGCACTTTTAAAATTCAACACGAGCCAGAAAAGATGATTTGGCTCACTGCAGGAAGTGAATGGTCTAGCTTTATTGATTTATTTATTAGTTTTTGGGAGGATCTAGCCAAGGTGAACTCACAGAATACCTGAAAACAGTCCCTATGCATTGTGCATGGATAAATGTCCACAGTCAAATGTCAAAGGAAGATCCATTTCAAAAGCCATCCAAAACTGCCATCGTGAGTTCAGCTGAGGGGCCGTGACAACTAGTTGCTGTAGAAGGCCACCACAGCTTTGTTACCCTCCACTGCAGATGGAAATTTCTGACTCACCATTTCATTCAGTCCTTTACACACAGTGCTGTTACTCACGGTTCTTGCTTTAAAAAACAATTAAACATCCCCATCAAATTTACCAGACACCTTGGAGACACCTAACACAAACTAGGTTTCTTCCAGAATGCAACAAACCATTTTATGTGAGAGAAACCAAGATAAATGTAATTCAGTATTAAGACATAACACCATACAAGTCATTGTAAGCCATGTCTGTACCTCCAGCCCAGTTCCAACATTTGATGAATCCAATGGTCTTTTCTTCCTTGGTCCAATGGCTGCCAAAGCTGTGAGGTTGGCTTCTCTCTGTTGCATCTGTGCTAACTCCAACTGTTGCATCTAATTTAAAAAGAAAACACCTATGTTAATTATAATATACAATATCCTAAAGGTCTTGTTCTCTTTATGGCAGCTTCAGTCAGCTCTGCAATCCTGACTGAAACAATGAGTTTCACAGCATGGTTTCCTGTCTTTCTGGACACTTTTGACACATTCCAATACTCAAGTCATGCTTATGACCTATGAAAAGCATTACATAAGTAACATCTTTTATGCAGACCACACTGCAGTATCAACACAGCCTTAACAGGACTCGATGATCTTTGAGGTCTCTCCCAACCTGATGGATTCTATGATTCTTGCAGGTGGTTCCTCAGCTCATAAGCTTTGCCATTTCTGAACAACAGAAAATATTGATCTGAACTGGTTTATGAAGCAGGATTAGTATCAAAAATCAAAGTTACCAAGGACATATTCTTAATTTAAAATCTCAATTCATGACTGCACAAGTAAGATACTCAATTTCTTCATGCTGATAGACTTGCTAGCTTGGATTTGCCACCTTGTTAATACAGTCACATCAGCTTCAGATCCACCAGCTGTCCAACTTGGAGCATGGGTGGAGGGTAGTAGTGCTCTCCCTCTCTATGAGAAGGTTTTCGAAACACAAACCTCAGGGCTTGATGTTAACCCTTAGATGATCTGACCTGCAACTGGAACAGCTCCTTAGCCCATGCTCTCTCCACTCCCAGGTCTTAGAAAATTGTTCAGATGGGGATTCTCTGCATGCATATGTGTGCACATCATAAAAAATTTAAAGGACAACCATACCATGGTAGGAAAGCATCCAATCTCCTCCATTGCCCCCTACTACTCCATCACAAAAATAGTCAATTGAGCTTCCCATCCAGTCAATACAGACATTTTGCTTACTAAGCTTGCAATACACTATGATTTTGCTTGCTTTTCAGCTTTCAGAGATCCTACTTGCAGAGGAGAAAAATCAACTGATAACTGAGCTTGTAGCACCTACATGATATTACTTCCCTACTTGTTACCACTTAAATAAAGATGAAACCACAGCAAAGAAATTCTGTGAGGTTTTGGGGAGGAGAGCTATTGGTTGGGTGGCTTTTGGTTGAGTGCTTTTACAAGTATTACTTTACTTCAGATAGGTAGACTTCAGCGATGCTGGCAGCTTCACATCAAGCACTGCAACAGCTAGGCTATTTAAATAAAAATGGTATTTCAGGGCAGAATTCCTAGAGGGACATTTGTCCCTCGAAGACTCAAAGTATCCACACGCTCATGATTTTTCAGCACAAATCAGGGAAAATAAGGCTTTAATAGATATGTTGAGAGCAGAATTTTTGGGGTGTTTTGGTGTTTTTTGTCTGTTTTTTTTTTTAAGACAAGACAAGTATTTCAGTTATGAGAACAACACTGTTTACATGTCAGCTTTGATCACAGTATGTAGGCTTTTGCTTATAGAAACACAGTAGCACTTCAATGCTAGATATCAACTTTCACTTACCACACACACTGGTCATGCTTTTGTGTGTGGTGTAAACACTTAGAACCTTGTTCATCAGAATTTACTCACAGTTTGTTGGGGTTTTGCTTGATTTTTTCCAAGTATACAGTATTGCTTTCAGGAATGCTTTAGAGACCGTAAGGTTTTACATCCCTTAAACTTTTAAGTCACTAGTGTTCTGCAATTGTCTGAGGTTACCTCCAGCCAACCTACTTGCATAAAATGTTTAAGATAAACTTTCATTAATCTCAGTCTTGAATATGTATATTTATATTCAGGAACACATTTCAACCCATCAGAGATGGGGAGAAGCAAAACTAAGTGTGAAAAAGTCACTTTAAACTTCAAACTCTTAAAGATTGAGGCTTAGAAACTAATTTTATGTGACATCATCACTCCCCAGATTAAGCAAAAGCAATAAAACACTTAGAATAAGCATTATATCTCAGCAATAAAATGCTGAGATTTTTTTGTCGGAAACAGGTGCCGACTCCCAGCCTCAGCTGCCCAGGCCTCCAACACCTGGACCCAACCCTCTGTACAGGCAGCTATGGAGCATCCATGTAAAAGTAAAGTACACTCTCCTGCTAGCAATGTAGTTCAGTCATCACAAGGGTCACATATACAACCACAGCCTTCCTGCCACGAACAGAGTGATGCCATGGACACAGCATCCCTCTGGGGAAAGGGTAAATTCCAAAAGGCTCCAGTGAGAAAGAAAACTAGAAGGGGAAAGATGATTTGCTTTACTTTTCAGACCCATTATACTTAAAGGACTTTAAACCCATTAAACTTAAAACAAAGCAAAATCAAAACACAAGTCCTTATTAGCCTAACCTTGTGCTTCCACCCCAGGAGTCATTAGAAAACATATCCCCCTTCTCTCTGAACCCTACAAAACATACACAAATCAGCTCCACTGCAGTTAGACATCATAAACATGAGTCTGTCAAACACTTCTGGCTTGAAGCTGCATTGAAGTAAGATCTCCTCTCCTTTTTACAGCTGATGTTGATGGGTAGTCATGGTCAAGTCTGAGTACAAGAGGCAGAGCTATGAATTAAATACCAAGAGAGCTTTGGGCTGGCACCAGAATGGGGTGGAGGGGACTGGGAGAGTTGAGTGTCTCTTGGTGAAGTACCAGAATGCTCCTCTGAGGACTGGGTGGTGCCTTGGCACCATCACCATTTACCCCATGCAATTCAAGCAGACAAAGCATACTGTTGGCACAAACACATTGCAGGAGCAAGTACTGCTGCTGGAGGGCAGTGCCAGCAGAGAACCCACTGATAACAAAGGAGAGGACGACACTTGGGGGAGGGTATGAAAAAGATGCACTTTCTAGAAACGGAATTGATGCATCTTTGTCCAGGCAGTTCCCAAGACAGTGCTGGATGCACATGTCATTACCAACATCTACTCTCTCCAATATATTTTCCACTTCATAACCAGTCAAAGGATTTTTCAAATCAGACAGGATCTCACCAGGGTTTTGGGGCAAAAGAAAAAAACCCCAAAAAACCCCACAGTCTTGTTGCATTCTACACATCTCAGGGATTTTTCTGGGAACACAATTAAGACAAATGAATTTAAACACTCAATCTCCATAATGGACTCAACAGATTCCCATCAAGAAATATGGGCAGGCATCCAAATTACCCTGCTGAAGCCAGCAAAATAATCTTTTCATCAAGTTTTGTTCCATTAAAAAGTGTAAGATTAAATGTCCAAACATTGTGTGAGCAGTTAAAAGCAGAGGATAAGGAGAAGACAGGCAGATAATGTCAAGGGATACCCGAGGATACTGGCTGGCTAACTACTGCCAGATTTTCCTAAACGAGACTTAGGAAAGCGCAAGAGGCAACTATGTGGAGTTGAATCTTTCTGCAACAGTTCTGCATCACAGAAAGATCACTGCAGCAAGTACAGTAAAAGCAGTATATACACTATTAAAATACTACATGGAGAAGTTGCACCTAGTATTTTTTCCCTTCTAGAGGTCAGTTTTATTAACATTGGTTGGTGACTGACTAAAATAGGATACAAATAGAAACTGTCATGCCCAGGTGAAATCATACTGTCATATCCACCTTGAACAGATGAATTTTTTTTCCTTGAAGACAGAAGTATGTAATGGCAATTCAAGAGGCGTAAGAGGAACCTGCACTATATATTGGACCCCCAAACTAGAGGTTTCCCCTCAACCTGACCTACTTCATCTGCTGAAAGATGCTGCTGTTCCACCACAACACAGGAATCGACCACATACTCTGTTCAAAATTCATTCCCCAAGAAGGGCATTGAGAGGGGATAGTCTCCAGGCAAGTGGCAAATGAATGCTCATGCTCCTTCTCCCCCCTTTCTGACTTTCACATATGCTAAGAATTGCAGTACAAAGAGTTCTAAAAACCTGTGTATAAAGATCAAATTGCTATGAAAACGTCTCAGAACTTGTAAAATAGTCTTTGTTGCTGCTGGCCTTTTTAATAATAAAAATAGGGTTTAAAGTCTGGTCTTGCAGCAAGCAGGAATCTCTAGGGTGACAATAACCATTTTAGTTAATCTGACCTGCAGCACAAATCAAGAAATAAGGTATGTTTTAAAGCCCTTCCTTATAGTGAAATGGCATTTGCAGCATGGCTGTAATCACACAAAATGAAAGGTTTTAAAATTGACCTCTCTGTTCTTCACTCAATCCTCTGAGAAAAATATTTCTTTTCCTGCTCTCAGAAATTTTCTCATTTATGTCTCATACTCTGTATTTCAGAAAATACGCAAAATCTATTTTTACTATTACACCAATGACATTTTTGAGGCATTTTAATATTAAAAAATTAAATTTCAAGTTGTATAAGAAGACAAGAAGTACTTTAGTTATGAGAAGCTGAAAGTTTTACTTAAAGCAATACTGCAGATTGGCTTTAAAATCCTTCGGCTACAAAGTACATGATATGTGGGTGCCCACATTATCAGAGGCCAAATAATTCAAGTTATGCAAATCTTGAGATTTCCACTAAACAGGAAGAATCCCTTAAACAAAACTGATGAAAAGTTTACTTTTCACTACATTACTACAAATAAAGTCAACTAATTCACACCAGCTAATCCATGATGTGTACAGCAGAGGGTGGCTATATTATCAGAGGTCGTGAAAAAGGAGTGTTACCTAGCCAAATACATTTTCACCTTGGAAAAGAAGTAAATGAAGTCACTTATGTCTGGTCACAAAGTACCCAGTATAGGATTCAAGTATTTCGTATAAATTTTCGTAGAAGACAAACTATACGAAACATTTATTCTCTAGATCCTCAAGAACAGTTTTACCAGGGAAGGTTTTCCTAAAGGCAAAGATGAGAAAGTAAGCATCTGTATTAGCCAGGGCACACAGAGCAGTAATAGGGCTAAGGTTAAAGAAAAGCAAAACAAGTGGCACTTGTCCGGCACAATGCTGGGAGATGACATGTCAGCATCATGTTGGCATGAGAAATTCATACCACTGTCTGCTTCTGCAGGAGCTTCAACATAC